AATTGATGTATGTATGGATTATGATAAGAGTTGTATGAGCCCCTAATAAAACAATTTAAAAATAAATAAATTTTTTAAAAGCCCCATGCAAAAACAAACAAAGCCAAACGCACTATAATGATGGGAAAAAAAAAAAGAGAATTCTCTCCCATAAGAAGGAATGTTCCTCACCCTAAGGGACCTTTCGTGTTCTTGCCAGACTAAAAACAGTAAGATTGGCATAACACAGGCTCAAAGACAATGTTCCGCATGCTACTTGGGTGAGTAACAACAGGAATCTTAAAAGCTTGTGAGCAGCCATCTAAGGTACAACTACTGGCCTTGGGGAAGAAAGAAAGAAGAGAATCAAATGAAAGCACACGCAAAACAATTAGTCCAAGCTCCACACCAGTGAGGCCAGAGGAATTGGATGGTGCCTGGCTACCAACACCAACTGCTTTGAAAGGGACCACATCAGTAAGTCCTACCTAGAATGCCCAAAAATGTGGCACAAAACTCAGAAATCATAAAAAGGGCAAGACTTACTGCTCAGCTAGAGACCGGTAGGACCTCTGAGACTATGCTTGTTAGTCACCCATCGGGTCTGGAAGTGAACTTACCCCCGTGGTTTAGTTTTCAGCCAAACAACAGGCAGATGGGTAGAGGAAATGAAAACACTTATCCGTGAGGTAGACACGCCTTCGAATACTTAACCATTTGGGATCAAAAGGGCAGCAATTCCCAGAGGACAAAGTTCAGAAGGGTTAGGAGAGAAGGCGGAACGGAAACAGAGAAAGTGGGATGGGTGATGTTGCCCTGTGGAGCCTGCGATCACTGACAGGAAACAAGATGTGTATGGATGGCTGAACAGAAAGCAGATCTGTCCTGCAGACCTTCACCCAATTCAGAGTTTAGAAACATTTTTAAAACATGAGGATCATCAACTTCGCACAGCTGAGTGAGGACACCTTTCTGGGAGGCGATACTGGGGATGATTTTCAATCTGGAAAATATATATTGGCTCCGGGAGAGGGACATATCTGATCGGAGCACACGGGAGCAGATGAAGGGGGAGGAAGAGAGAGTGGAGCACATCCTGGCTCACCAGGCCTTGAGGATGATGATTCCAATTAGAGCAGTCAGTCCACAGAGAGGACCACATGGCCAGCCCCA